TAAAAGTCTATTTTGTTCAAATCAGTTGGATCGATAGAAAAAATAAGAGGATCCCAAGACCAAGAATCATGAAAAAATTTAATAGAATTATCATTACCAATTGCCTATGCAAAATGACCTCTAAGAGTGTAAAATTTGAGCTTAATACCTGACAAAATTGAGGAAGAATATGATAATTGATGGTAGAATCATCTATGCAAACTCTGTATCTTAAAAAAGTAGCCCAAGATTCTTATGTTTTGACTATATCCCAACTGAGCTTCAAATTAGAGGCTTCATTAAAACTTCTCAAACACCTAAGAACTAAACCACTAAATGCAAAAGTATTACAAACCTTTTTTAAAGAGACAATTATTAATTTTGTTTTAGAGATCTCACCACTCCAAATGAAATTCCTAGAAGAATGCTCAATAGACTTTAACAACGAAAAAGGCTAAGAATGACTGAAATAAAAAAAAAGTAAGAATGATGAGAATTACAAAATTAACCAACATTGTTCTACTTACCATAATGAGCAAAAATACTTCTCATATTGAGAGTTTTGCAGGAACCCTATTAGCAATAGGCTTAAGGTGGCAAGTTTTTGGTCTGCTTTTGAAAATAGCAATACATAGGTAATTTAAAGGAAATGAAGCAATCTTAAACCTTGTAGTTTTCAAAAAAAAGAATTGAACAATAATATATGCAAGATTTTGAGGTACTAAATATTTGAGCTGAAGCTTGAGAGTACCTAGTGAAATCAGTGAACAAGTTGGAAATATTGGAATGAGTCCCTTTAAAGTTTAGAAATATTAGAATCAATACTTCCATTTCCTCATTTATACATATGTAATTATTCAATTTAAAGTATTGTTAAATAATCTGAACACTTAATGGATGTTGCATTATTTTCTTCTCTTGTATATATCTTACGAGTTTTAATTTTACAATATTTTTATCCTTTCTAATAAGGTATAAGCGGATCCAATAAAAGTAATTAAATTGATAGTGTAAACCAAGCCTAAAAATATTGTTTTTGGTTCGATTTCAAAACCAAAATAAACTTAATCAATAAAAATCAATGTGATTTGTTTTGGTTCTTGGTTTAAGTTTTAAGAAATCGTCAAACCGGTGAACTGAACCAAGACTATAATTACGCTCTAAATATTTTTTACCTATTATTAAGCTTAAATTTTGTATCAGTACAACAATTGTCCATCTTTGTTTACATTTCTTTCCTTTCACCAAAACAGATATCTAGAACCAAACTCTCAAACATAGAAAGTATAAATCATAAGTCACAAAATTTGTTTTCACGGAAATGCTTCTCTCGCCGTCCACCACCATTGTTGCTCTCTCCACTGACGTTTTGATATATTATGGTAGCCTTCTTCTTAATATTCAATTTTACTTCGTTATTTTTCATATTTTTTTGACCTTTTTTTGTTTGTTCTTCTTCAATAAAATTTCTTCTAGTCTTGTTACAAAATAGGTTTTTTTTAATAGGCAAATGATTTCATTTAATAAGAGCACAAGGGGTACTCAACTAAAGAAACATCTTACAAGAAGGCACCTTAATCTAGGGAATATAAAGGCACTGTGTGTCAGTCATAATAACTACAATAAAAGAGGGAGTTCTACCTACATTGATCTATTTCCACGAGGTGAATTTTATGGTCGAGATACACTCGTCAAAATTCAGAGGCTTTCCATTGAAAATCACAACATTTCTTAACAACCAAATGGACCAAGACGCTGCCAGCCAAAAAACAAACATTACTCCTCTATCACCCTTGTTCTTGACCTGATGAAAACAATTCGAAAAGTCCGCCAAATCCTGTTCTGACAATAACAATTTACTCCCCATCCAATTTCAAACCGCCAATCAAATTTTCCTACTAAAGTGACAATTTCTAAAAAGATCTTCTCTCAATTCCAAACTTTTTGCGAAGAGAACACAAAGTTGCTCGTTACCACCATGGACAACACCTCTTATAAACAGATTTTCTCTCGTTGGGAGTCTATTTAGCACCAACCTCTTTTCGAACATAAGGATATTCGATGACACTTTAACTCTCCACAACTGAAATAACACCTCCATCATATTTGTTTAAACCCACTCAATAGCTTCCCTATTAACAAAAGTGTCATAACAAGCTTTGACAGTAAAAACTTCATCTACGTCTCGATTCTAAGTAAACTCGAGATACGCGTTTGAGGTATAAAACATGTTAATTTATGAGTATTAAAAATTTGTGTTGTTGTATTTTATTTGTTAAGCTTTCAAATTTATTCCCAATATTCTAATGCCAAGTGCCAATTTTTTTATTTGATAATAAATTTATTTCATGATGCAATGGAGTATAGATTTAGAACAACTTGTTATTTGTTTGAAACAATAGAGTATGAAATAAATTACATGAAATTTATTACTTTAAAAAATAATAGCATAAAATAAACAAAAAAATATGTAGTGCAAAATACACTAATGAATATAATTGAGAAAAATAACATTGTAAAACGATCAACCAAACCAAATCGAAGTGAACTAAATATGTTACTTTGGTTCGGTTCTATTTTTGAAAAATACTAAAAACTGAATCAAATATAATCGAAAAAATATTAATTTGAATTTTTTTTTTATCAAAACCTATCCAAGCCCGATTACACCCCACTTCCAAAAATGCCACAATAACTTTAAATGAGCAAGATTGACATTTAAATTAATTAATTAATTCAAAATAAAAATTTCTATTTAAACTTAAAATTTTAAATAAATTTTAGTATTATAAATACAAATTCAATATTTATTTATAATTATGTCTATTTTCTTATTTAAAATGTATTTGTTAAGCTTTTAGGTTATTCAATTAAAGAAAACAATGAAATGCTCATTATTAAAAATGACATGCTTATTTTGAAAATTATTGAATATTTTATATAATTGAAATAATTAAAATATTTAATTACTTTTAAAAAAATTATTAAATTTCTTCAAAAGTATTTACTGAGTTCCATATACAGAAATAACATTTTCTATTATATCATAGGTTTTCAAACCCCTCACTCTCCACATGATAATAAATTAAATTAACTATCAAACCATTAAAATACAATGCCATCATCCTTTTCATAATAACCTTTTTGTGTTTTTAAATTACAAAGTCAAAAGGATTTATTTGTCATTTCATAATCAAAATATTTTTACAACTTCTAAATAAATTAACATGTGTCACGTGTCCTCTTCTTCTCTCACTCTTCTTTTGTATTACAAATTAAATTATTTCTATCATTTACTCTCTGTATTAAACACCACACACACTTCACAATTTCTTAATTATATCCGCTTACCATTTCACTCTTTTTTTCAAATTAAATTAATTTTCCTTTTATATTTTTTTCTCTTTCCATTTCATCATTTTATTTTTTTTATTTAATTATTTTATTTTTTTATAATTATTTTTAATATATTAAAATATATAATTATAGTATATGATTATCATATTAATTATTTATTGGTGTATAAATATATACAATGTTAATATTTAATAAATAGTCATATATACAACTAATATTTCAACTTATCAATCATTCTCAGAAAAATACATATTTTATTTTAATTAATATTTTTATTATTTGAAATATAAAATTCTTATTTTCAAATAGAAATTTTTTTTCTTACATGTCACTATCAGAAAAATACATATTTTATTTTAATTAATAATTGTTTTAATTTAATACACAAAATTCTTATTTTAAAATTTATCAGTGCAAACACATGTGTATTTTGCTACTAAAAATATAAAATAATAAGTTTCACATAAAATAATATCATGTCAATTTTTATCAAAAGAGCTACGCATTTCCTATTGAAATATGTTAGAAAATAATATTATAAAGTTATACTCATAAATGATTCTCAATTAAAATTTAAATTTATAGTGGACCATAACCATTTGTTATTTTATTCCTAATAAAACATTTATGAGTATTTAATTTCGAATAAATAGTTTATAAGATGTTGATCCATTATTAAAGGCTGATTTTGTAACCTCAAAAAACGAGTTCAAATCACATAGAATTTAATTATAACATAATCCTTAGTGTCATAAGTATTACTATACCATTTCTCTTCTTTAATTTTGAAAATATAAATAAAATAATTGATATAATCTTTAAGCTTTGTTTTGGAGTTTGGAGAAGAGGAGAAGGAGAGATTTTCGAAAACAAATTTTAAAAAATATTTGATATTTAAAAAAAAATTTTTTTATATAAAATGACAAAAGAATATTTTTCATCGCTATATTTTTAATTTTCAGAATATTCTAACAATATAAAAGATATTTAAAAAATTTAGGTAAACCTTCTAAAACTCTCTTTTAATATAAATTTTAAATTCTTCTAAATTAAAAATTTTAGGTGTTATGAAAATAAATGAACTCTTCAAAATAATACAAACTTAAATTCTACAATTTTCGTCCCTCAATCCTTCTCTTTTTTCAAAGTCCTATCTTTCATTCACATTTAAACTTTCGAACAGATCCTAAGAAAATATAATGAATATCAATTGAATTTTCAAATTAATTATATTATGTTTTATTTTAATTATTTGTATCCTTATAAAAATGTTAATGATTCAAAAACTAATATTTGAGGGCGTAAAAAGGACAAAATAATTTAGAAGAATTTTAAATATGATATATTATAAAAAATATTTAATAATTAAGATTTGTTTTCTCAATAATTAACTTTGATCAAACATATTAAATGTTACTTATAATTATCCATTTTATAATAAATAATATTAATAGAAATAATAAATCTTTTATAATAACTAATATTAATAGAAATCATAAATCACTACCGAGTCTTTTAAAAAATATTAAAAACAAATAGAGACACTAATGAATTACCATAAAATGATATCATATCTTGTCTATAAATTAAGCTATACTCATATAGTTTAGACATTCCAAAATTCTAGAATAACCATACTTATACACATTCTCAAACTAAGAAAGATGGAGAAGAGATCTATTTCTCTTTTAAATGTTGTGATGATTTTAAGTATGTTAGTAACAACATCACATGCACGCCAAATTGATGCTATTACATGTCCTGATGCTCTTTTATCTTTGCTTCCATGTCTTCCTTATTTGCAAGGAACTGGCCCTACTACACCAACTAGTGCTTGTTGTGCAGGTGCAAATAATTTAAATCAAAAGGCAGACACCACTCAAAGTCGAAGAGATGTATGCAATTGTCTCAAACCTGCTGCAGCAAGATTTGGAGTTAATCCCGACAGATCAAAACAATTGCCAAACCTTTGTAAAATTAATCTTTCAGTTTCATTTGATCCTAGCATCGATTGCAACACGTAAGTTTGTCTTCATATATTCCTACTAACTCACACGACGCATTGATATTTCGTTATAAATATATTTTTTCTTTTTTGTACAGAGTTCCATGATACTACAACGTGAGACATGGACAGCATGAAGAAAATTTGAAGAATCATTGCGATAACAACTATATGTGTAGCAATAAGATAAATAAAAATTTGTAATAAGTCTGTAAGATGGGATATGATTTTAGTATCTAATTAATTGAGAATAAATTCATTTTCTTGCTCTCTATATCTTATTTTCATTATTTTAATATGAGAAATGCTAATGAATGTATCCGGGGACACTTTTAAGAGTTTAAAATGATATATTTTGTTGATTAAATACTTCAATGTATTGAAAATTAAAATGATTGATTTTTTTAAGAAATAAAATATATTTTTTCTAAAAAATACTTTTATTCAATGCATTGCAAATTAAAATAAATAATTTATTTGAAGAATTTTTATTATATTTGAAATCTTTAAACAGTGCTCTTAGTACATTCGTTAGCATGACCCTTTTAATATTTAATATATATAGTTTTATTTATTAAATTATATTATTATTTTAGTTAAAAATGTCTTTTAAATATATGTAAAAAAAGATAATACAAACTCAAAAAAATAAAATTATTATTGAATTCAACATATAGTTAGACCTTTGAAAAATTAAAGGTAAAGCTCAATAAAAATATTTAATTTATAAACGACATTTAGACAAAAACATATTATATTTTCAATCAATCATATTCGTTAAATATAAATGACTAAATTTACAAAGCTGTTATCAACCGGATATAAAAAGTTTAAAATTGAAAAGTATGTTGAAATCATCAGGTGTATCCCTTTAAGTAAGAAAATAGGTAATTAGAGTTTCTATATTGCACTTAGATAAATTGTCAGAAGCATAAGTTATTATTAGAATTTTGTTATTGTGAATGTCTACACCTTCCTACCGAACAAGTATGCCTTAATATTGTAATTATTTGAAATCCTTGGTTAGTTTGCCCACCAACCAACAGTAGGGTTTGTGGTGGAGTAAATCACATATTTTTTTTTTGGTTTTTTTATTCTATTGTTCTTATTTGAAATCCTTGGTGTTTTAATATCTCTTCTATCAAGAGGGATTATGGAGAAAGTGAAAAAACATCCATCTCTTTAAAGAGGAGGTGGAAAGAGTTACAAATGAAGGTGATGAAGTATCGGAGAAGGAAGTATTCCAACAGACTCTTGTAAGGAAATTATGGATGGACAACAATTTCAACGTAAGAGCCTTCATCAGCACTACAATGGGTGTTTGGAGACTCAAAAACCATGTTGAGACACAAGAGCTAAACAAGAATATGTTCATATTCGAGTTTACAACAAACAGAGATCTGGAATCTGTGATTTAAAATGGGCCAAGGAGTTTCGAACGTAACATTATGGCTTTAGATCGGGTTTAGACATGCACTTTGGTGCCTTTTGTATTAGGATTTATGATCTTCCACTTATGTTGAGGTCTGAGACAATGGAAAATAAGATTGGAGAGATCTCAGGGGTCTTTTGAAGAAATGGATTCAAGGGAGGCGAATAATAATGGGTGCTTCTTGAGGATCAAAGTCAAAATGGAACTAAAACAACCTTTGAAAAGAGGAACAGTGGTGAGATTCAAGGAGAAAATCCATAGGCCTTATTTCAAGTATGAGTGACTTCCCACCATCTGCTTTATTTTGGAAGATTGGGGCATCAACTAAAAGAGTGTGAGGAGATTGATAATCTAAGCAAGGATGGACATGAAGATCTCGATGAACATGTCATGTCTTATGGGTTATTGTTTAGGGATTCACCCCTTCCAAAGGTGTTTAAGGAACCAAGGAGGAAGGGTTCGAGTTCATGTAATTACAGAAAAATCATGTTTAATACATCCTCAAGCCAAATCAGATGTGAACAAGATAGGAAGGAGAAAACAGGGGAGGTCCAAGTTGAGAAAGGAAGAAACATTAGTAACAAACATATCCTAAGGGTGAAGGATTCTGGGGAAATATAGGTGGTGGAGAATATGAAAGTGGAAACAGTGGCAAAGTCTCTTAGGGTGGTGGTAATAACGTATTTTCAAACAAAAGGGCCAACACAGGTTGATGGAGGAGCACCAAAATGAATACCTGGAGTAGAAAAAAGAACTGACGGAAGCCGAAACAAGATCAAATAAAGAAGATGGTGGATGCTGAAAGAAAGAGACAACTAATTGATGTGATGATAACTGATGTCTCCCTGGAGGACATTGGCAATGGAGAGAACAATAGGAATCATGCGAGGATGGAAGAGGATGTTAGTAAGATAAGACCAGAGGTGGTGTTGGAGAACTAACACTGCTTTCAATAATGAAAATAATAAGCTAAAACTATAGGGGTTTAGAGAATCCTCGTACAATTCGAGCCATACAGAGGCTCATTAGATTGGAAAATCACTTTATGGTCATCTTAATGTACACTAGACTAAAAGATTTTGAGATGAAACATGCTCATTCAAAATATGGTTTTGCGTTTTGTCAAGTGATGAAGTGTAGAGGGAGTGGGAAAGACAGGGTAGCAGGAGTCACACTACTATGAAGTGAGAACTTAAAGGTCAATATAATTTCTTATTCTCTTAACCATATAAGGGGTCACGTAATGGATGATGAAGAGGATATCTGATGGTTCTTCACAGGCATTTATGGCTTCCTTGAATAGCATAATAAGAGGAAAACTTGTGAATTAGTGAATCAAATTATACAGAGAAGAAGGGAACCAATGGATCTGTTTTGGAGATTTTAATGATGTTCTAGCTGATGCAAACAAAAAAGGTGGAACTAGCAGGTCAATTAGTCAACTGAGCTGGAGTAGACAAATAGTGAGCAATTATGGAATTCATGACCTAGGGTTTAAAGTCTATAGATTCACTTGGACAAATGGAGGACAAAACTTGGAGAATACTAAATGTCATCTCAATATGGGATTGGCAACCTCAGAGTTTGCTACAAAAATTCCTCTACCAAAGCTCTCCACCTCCCTCGGTTTAGGTCTGATCATATTGTCATTTGTATTAACCTATAGGACCCTCTGGTGTGCAATTAAAATAATAAGGTCCAACTATTTAGATTTGAAGAGGTTTAGACTAAGGAAATATATGTGAAGAGCTTGTTAAGAAAATGAGGTTGGATGATACTAACCACAAAGTCAACAAACTTTTCATGATTCAAGCCATCGAGGATTCCTTTAGAGAATTACGACCTAGAGCTGTTAGGGAAGAACTTAAATGATTAGAGGATCTCTTGAAGGATGATAGTCGACGGACATAGGAGGTGTAGGAAATAAAAACCAACAAGGCCCTGAAGCAACAAAGAAACAATCTTTTTAGGGTAGAAGATATGATATGGACATAGGAGTAGAGCCCTTTGGCTTAATGAGGGGACCGTAACACTCAATTTTTCCATGGAAAAGAAGAGTAACAAAGGAGAACAAACCATATAGAAAAATTAAAAGATGATAGAGGGGTTTTGTGGAAAGGCGAGGACCACTGTGACAGAATTCTGGTAAAATACTTCTATGATATGTTTTTTTTTCTCCTGCAATTATTGATGTTTTCTACCAAGTAGTTCAAGGTAATATAACAATGGAGAAACAACTATGGTGTGAAGCCATGTATTCCCCAGAGGAGGTCAAACATGTTCTGAATCTAATGCACCTGTTAAATGCATCAGGACTATATGGCCTTCCAACTTTGGTTTTTCAAAAATTATGAAACATTATGGGGACCGATATGATGAAATTAGTACTGGGGGTGTTGAATAACAATAAAGACCCTATTTCCCTCAACAAGACTCACTCTTTTCTAATTCCTAAGTGTAAGAATTCCAGCACACCTAATGACTTCAGGTCAATCAGTCTATGTAATATGGTCATGAAATTGGTGACAAAAACTATAGCCAATAGATATAAAGGCCGTCTACCTGATGTTATTGATGAGGATCAAAGTGCATTTGTAAAAGAAAAGTTAATAACAAATAATGCTCTGATTATCATGGAGTTTTTCCACGGGATGAAAGATAAGAAAACATGTAAGAATAGAATGATGGCCCTAAAGCTGGATATGTCGAAGGTGTACGATATAATTGAATGGTATTTTCTTGATGGGGTGCTCAAAGCTATGGGTTTCTCGAAGTCAATGATGGATATGATTAGAATATGCTTGTATACGGTTACTATTGTTTTATGTGATTGGTTGCATCATGCAAAACAACATAAAGTGTACAAGATATTTCAATGAAGAAAGCACACATGTGGGACATGATGTTCCAACACGTGTGCAACATCTAGCCCTTGTTAGAAGGCCAGTGTTAGAGCTAATATGAACGTGATTTTAGAATATGTGAAATGTGATTTATTTCTATCTTTTAGAAAAGTGTGATTTAGATTTATTTCTATGTGATTTATTTCTAACACATATGTTATTGACGAAGTATTCAGATATGATAGAGCTTTTCAACACTTCCTTGCTAAAAGAATAGTGTGATACGGTGGGAATAACTGACTGTTTTTGGAATGCTGGTTTGCGTTTTGCGTTTGTTTTCACAAAATGTCGCGGTAAGCAAGAGTCGCCACCGACTTTTATTTTATCCAACAAGGAAAGGAAAAAAGCACAAAAAAATTCCTTTTTCGAGATATTTCTCGGGTTCGGGGGGTAGATTATAGAAAGGGAAGGTGTTAGCACCCTTTCTATCTGTGGTTATCCACGGGCTCTTAGGTACTTGCTCAATTGTTTTCAAAAATTGATTTCTTTGTGCTTGCGGGTTTTGAAAATGTCTTTGTTTTAAAACTTCGATTTAACTCTTGCTTCTGTCCTCAAGAGTGTAATGAAGTGTTTTGAAAACTTTGTTCGAAAAAGAGTGTAAGTGTGAAAAGTTTTGTTTTTGAAAGAGCAAGTATCTAAGAACCATCTACCTACTCGAAAAAGGAATCGTTCTATGCTAATTTCCTTTAGACAATGCTATCCCACTATCGATGAGTAGGTAGCACCATCATTGGAGTTTGAGGGTCAATTCGAATGAGGGACATACGGTCACCAAAGCAATGTTAGGACGCCTTAGCGGTAACCCTAATGTCTTAGATCATTTTTTTGAGGCAACAATATCCGAGGCAACCATTTCGAGGCAACTTATGATCTTTTAGACAAGAGGGCGACCTCTAAAACTACCTATACTCAATGACCGTTACCGAAGGCAACCAAGTGGGGGTGTACCCTAAGAGTGCACATGTGCGAGTGTGTCGTTTTCAGTTTATTTTATCTTTGTACATGTGAAGGGTGATCTAATTTGATTTTAAGATTAGCATTCAGTCTTGTCATGCAACCCTGTTATCAAACATCTAACAGTTATAATTTGCAGAAATAAAATGCGGAATTTAAATTACAAGGCGTCAGGTATTTACATCGCCAAAGACAAACCCCTTTGAAAAATAAAATAAAGCGAATAAAAAGTAATTAAATGTCCTATTTAACTATTACAATCCGGAAGGAGGTACATTATTATGATAAAAATAAATAAAGCGCGCGGGAAATTAGATCGAGTGCGAATTTTAGGGTTTTGACCCTTTTGAAAGAAAATGCCATCTTTTTATTGTTTTTTATTTTAAGAAAGAAATTAACCCTAAATTAATTACTAAATTAAATTAAATAAATTAATTAATGAAGAAAATAAATTAATGACATATTTTGGGTTTTTGTTATTTTAAGAAAGAAAATAAAATTAATTAAATTAGTAATTAAAACCTAATTAAATCTAATTAATTTTAATTATTTTCAAAATAGGTTAAAGTTATTCTAGAATTAAAACCTAAATTAATTAATTAGTGTTTATTAATAAAAGTTAAAATTTGATTGAATAAAAAAAATATTTTTATGGTTTTATTTGATGAAAAAAAGAATTTTGATTGGTTAGAAAATTAAGTAAATGAAATAAAACAATTAATAAAAACAAAACAAAATAAAAGGGAGGAGTGTTGGGCCTGATTTAGGGGTGAGAGGAGCAATTCTGTAGGCCCAAAAATGCTGGCCCTCTTGACTTTTTTGATCCAGTGTGGACACGTGGACTTGGCTCATGGTGGACCTCCAGCCTTTTGACCACCAGATCTGGATCTTGGCCATCTGGCGCCTAGATAGGTGAGGGAGCATGGTAGGCTGTAAACTGAAGTGTGCATACAATCACCTGAAAACCAAAATTATGGAGAAAGTGGGGGACCTGGGATTCGAACCCAGGTCCTGAAGGGGATACACTGCTCGTTTTACCACTACACCACATTGCCTTGTTTGTCACATTAATGCAAAAGAATAATAATATAATAAAATGAAATCAATTGGTCAGAAAATAAAAAAAAGGGCGCCAAGGTTTGAAAGAGCCAATGGACGGGGGACACATCATCGTCCCTGTCCTCAAACCTGTAACAAAAATACATGCGGATTTAAATTCGCGGCTAAAAGCGCAGGCCTATGCTAAAGTTCTCTCTAGGCCATATAAATCCATTCCAAGAACGGGGTTTGACTCGTCATGGCCTCCTGATCAAAACCATGTTCTTCTTGTGTCTCAATTGTGTCTGAAACAAAAACGCCCAAAAACACGAACCGAACCCTAACAATGGTGGTTCTTCATACATAACATATAAATGAAATTAAACAAAGCAAAAAGTTTGGGCATGTTCTTGTGATCACGAATGTACCATTAGTTTTCTCAAATGATGCAAGAACAAATCAAATCGAAACCAAGAACAGGGGTGACTATCGTGCGACTTACAGTGAGTTTGGGAGTCTGAAAATGCTTGGTTTTGGTCCAGGTAGCTTGTGTGAATGCCCAGGAAGCGATTGGAACAAGTCTCGTGTCCTGAAACTGCGTCTAACCCTGACTTTGATCTCTCACTTTTTTGTGAATTTTTTCACTTTTGTTCTGCCTCTTCCAATGCTTGCCAACCCTGATTTCGTATGCTTTAGCTTCCTTATGTATTGTGCTTTGCATTAGGGTAAGAATCATGGTCCAAATCTCTCCATATCAATGCACATGAATTGGATTTGATTCCATCATTAAACCTTTCCAAATTTTATTCAAATCATATATTCTTGTACACTTATGCCTTGATACGAGTTTGGAGATGTGCTACCTGTCCATTGAAGCCTATAATCAACAAAAAGTCTTTGGTTATCAATATTTTTGATTTTATGTGATTTAATTTGATTTAAAATGAATAAATTCAAATAAAAATCAAATTAAATAATAAAAATGAGATATGGACACATGGATGAAGCTAGGGCACGTGGGCAATAATGCAAACTCAAATCAAGTGGAAAAGAATGGGCCCATTTGACAAAATTTGAAGTTTTAGGGATAGTTGACTTTTGGCAATTTTGCAAAAAAGTCCAACTTCAACAATGCATAACTTCTTCAATTTTGAACTTTTGGAAGTGTTCTTGGACTTTTTAGAAAGCTTGAGATGTCCTATAACCAAACCTTTTTGTCTCATCTCATTTTGATATTCCATGCTCAAGTTATAAGCTTTGACAAAAAAGGTATTTTTGTTGACTTTCAAAAATGACCTATAATGTCCAAATTCCTAACTTCTTATGAGTGAATTTTTTTAACTTGGGGTATGAAGATGGATTGTAGGAAATTGCATCCTATTTAAAATGATCTTTGTATGGGTCATTTCTCATAAAGTATGAGAAAGTTATACTTGGTCAAAGTTGAGTTACCTTTTCCTGCAAAACCCTAATTTAGCAACTTTTGAATCTTGATGAATTTTGAGCAATCTTTGATGAATCATGATCAACCCTTGATCAAATGATGAAATATACTTCAAAATGAGAATGTTGACAAAAAATATTGAAGTTTGACTGTTTATAGGTCACAGTTGACTTTTGCCCTAGCACAATCGACTTTTGGACCCTTTGAGCAATTGACTGAACAAACTTCCTCTGCAAGGCTTGAAACTTGACATGGATGATCTTGAGAACATATTAGGGAATTGGGGAGCACTTGAGGTAATTTGGACTCAAGGACCTTGATGCAACACCAAACCCTAATTTGGGGTAGACTGCCTTAGGAGATAGCTTGTCTGACCAACTCTTGAGCTATCTTGAGCCATTTAGAGATTTTTATTTAAATGTCTTGAGGAATATGAGAGGGAAAATTTTGGGGTACAACAAATAGATAGAAGAAAAATGGCTTCAATGATCTACGGTGTTAGTAGAAATGGAAGCAAAGGTTTGGGATATTTAGGACCATCAAAGAAAATTGATGAGACTCTTAATATCAAACTAAAATCTCATTCTGAACATTTCGTGCCTGCAGGCACATATTTGAAATGTCCAGAACAAGAAGGTTCTGATACTACTGTAGCACAAATACAGACACAGAAGGAAACTTCTAAACAAAAGTATCATGCACACATTTCACATGATTATCCTATTGCACAAAAGTCCAAAGGTGTCAGAACCTCTGGAACTTCTAACAAAAGATGACCCAGAAAATGGGTACCTAAGGATCAGATAATCTACATTGCATATTTCCTTGATGGAGCCATTGAAACACCAGTCATGGTACCTAGAGAGTATATGCTCGTGACACATGACTGGCGAAAAGCATATGTTCCAAGACTTGGAACTCAATTCTGGAGGCGTTGTTGGGTTTGGAGGCAATCAGAAGGGAAAGATCATCGACTCTAGAACGATTGGTAATGGTAAATTCCCTTATATTCACAATGTTCTTTTAGTCGAGGGTTTGATAAATAACTTAGTGTCAATCAGTCAACTTAATAACAATCGTTATGACATCATTTTTAATCAAACATCTTGTAAAGTTGTTAGTCAGAAGGATGGCTCGGTTCTATTTAATGGCAAGAGGAAGAACAATATTTACAAAATAAGATTATCAAATTTGAAAAATCAAAATGTAAAATATCTTCTGACTGTTCAAGAAGAGCAATGGGTCTGGTATCGATGTTTGGGTCATGTTAGCTTTAGAAAGATTTCTCAACTAATGAAACTTGGATTAGTATGAGGCTTGCCCAATCTGAAGTATACTTCAGATTCCCTTTGTGAAGCTTGTCAGAAAGAAAATTTTCAAAAACCTCTTTCAAAGCTAAAAAGTTTGTTTCTACTTCTAGGCCATTAGAACTTCTTCACATTGACTTATTTGGACAAGTGAAAACTGCTTTTATCAATGGTAAGAAATATGGGCTTCTCATTGTTGATGATTATAGCATATGTGTAGTGGTAGAAATGTT